ACTACTCTTGTTATAACTTTCTCCTTTTTTAGGCTTAGGACATAACATTCATACTTTTTTTTACATAAGATCTTTCATCTCCTACAACTTAGAATTATAACCAAACTCAAGAGAAGGAAAATACTCAAACTATGTTTAAAATGAGAGCTTATAATACTTTACTAGCTAAGGATTAGATAATGCTTTATCAACCAAGCCTAAGTGAGATATTTATAAGTCCAAAAGGCTTTAAAAATAGAGCCAAAAATTTAAATCCCCATAAATTTTGGAACACGGACGTTACTATCGCTCTAGGCAGTAATACCACCACCATGGTACCACCATTAAAAAAGTTGATAAAGCACAAACTATGGTTGTTAATTAACTCAAGCAATACTACTACCTAGGCCTAGTGGTACCACTATCCAAGTCTGGTCTAGGCCACTGGTTTAGGTTTTTAACGGGCTCAATTAGGTCTAACTTCAAGCCCAATAGTTTTTTTAAAAAGTGAGCTTTGTTTCGATCTGATATAAATTAATCAAAAATAATCTTGATTAAAACCTATACAAATCAACCACACATCTAACATATTTATAAAGCTTTCAATATATTGTATGCTCTTCTAGTATATCGTCCAATCTTCTGACATATCATCTTTTCTTCGATATATCACTCATTCCATTGGTATGTCAATTATCCCATAACATTCAATCTTATAGCGCAATATCTAATCATTTAGATATGATGCCTGAACTTATAGTATAAAGTCCGATCTTTGGTATGTCGATCAATCCTCTAACTCGATGCCCAATTTTTGATATGATGATTTTTCCAACACAATATCTGACTCTCTTGCTTCGATAGTTGGCCCTTTAGTGGTACGAGTCCATGATCAAAATATTAATAATGTCACTTATTTCAAAATCATATTAATCTAATAAACTTATCAATTAGTTTTATCATCAAAATCTAGGATTCAACACCCAACACCAATATGACCGATGACAGTATGGCCGGCATAGCCCAAAGCACTTCCTTCGAATATAACATAACCAACACTCTCTAAAGTGCTCCCTTCGATGATGGTGTGGCTAAAAGTACTCCCTTCTATGACAAACATAGAACAAAGCTCTCTCTTTAATAATAAAGTGACTACTATGACCCAATATACTCCTTTCGATGATGATGTGACAAAAATAGTCCAAAGTGATTCCTTTAACAATAACGTGACTAACATCATGACTGACTCTTGGATGACTATATGACCAATACAATCCAAAGTGTTCCCTTCGATGATAGCATAATTGACATGAATTAAAGTACTCCCTTTGATGATAGTATGACTAAAACATCCCAAAATGCTCCAAATGATAATAGTGCGACTAATATGGCCCAAATTACTTTTGTAAATGATGGTATGATTGACGTGGCTTAAAACGCTTCCTTTGATGATAAAGTAATCGACAACAACCCAAAAGTGCTTCTTTCAATGGGAAAATGGTCGAAATGGCCAAAAGTCCCAACTCGTTTCGCGTGGATGTCAACAGTTGAATAAGAATCACATCATGCCCCGACTTTGTTATGCTTGTTAAAGTATAATGAGAGATAAATGATAGGAAAATAATAACATGATTGATACTTTAAAGATGCATGATCGACATTTCAACATCACATGACCAATACCTCATGCACATTACTATCCACATCATAACTTTCACATATCCCATGAATTTGATGATGCATGATTCCACCATGGTCAAGAAATACACATAACTGTTCTTGATATCATTATGTGTCTACGAGTGTAACATTCTAAAAGTCACCGTATAAAAGACCCTAGATATATTCGTATTCGACATTTGATCCAATTCTTCGAACTTTTTACTAATTTAAACATCGAATAAGTTTTGTTAGGTACACTTGATATATATTTTTTTTTACAAAATCTCTTACGACAAACTTGAACTCAAACCAAGTTGGTGCCGCCTCCCCCTACCAAATAACCAAATTTTGCTTTAACAATATTACACTAATTTAAGTTAAAAATTATTTAAAAGATACATGGGAAGATGAAAATATGGTATCTCAAACCTTTGCAAGCTAATAATTATCTAATGATCTAGCAATTATCGTATCCTAAAAACTAAACACACAAAGTCCAAGTCCAGTTAATCTGAAAACGATGATGTGCCAATGAGATGTATCATAACAACATAACATCTATAGAAAATAATTCTCATACTTGATACAATGTTGATGTGCTGATCTCTTAGCAAGCATTCTCTTTGGACTCTTTTTTTTCTCTTTTTCTTTTTTTTTCAAGCATTCTACTCGTTACGATGGAAATTAGAGGATCCAATCTTTCTTTTGACACGTGAGAATTTCACCTCTAAACAAGTGATGTTACGAGTTCGATTATAACTCTCTATGCAGACATCTTCACATCAACTTTTAAATCTCTCACTTCATTCCAAATAAACTTCTTTCCTATTTCAAATTTGATAAGATTCATAAAACAGATTAAGTCGGATCGGATTTGCCACGTCTAGTTCACATCAGATTGACCACAACACCTAACATTTGAGATATCTCCTTCACATCCAATTCACTACACAAGCAAGTAAACATCATCTCATTGCAAGAACCAAAGAGATATAGAGATCTCTCAAATGTTAGAGACAGATGAAGGAAGCAATATCTAAGAAACAAAAAATGGTTCAAGAACATAAAAAGTAGCAAAAGATAAGGGGAGTCTATGACCCACCAGCCTGTAGAATTATGGAAGAGGGGAAGAACTAAAGTAAGTATTGATGTTACCAAAGTTATATAACAACAGTATAATAACTAAATGCATCTTGGTGAAGATAAAAAAAAGTACATGTGAAAGAAATGGAGTTGAATACTGGAAGGACAAAATTAGGTTTGCCTAATGGCATCTTGATGACATGGATCAACCTGGAAGGTGGCCAAGTTCCAACACAAGCAATGTTGCCATATAGATGGTATCCATGTCCTGGTTCAACTTTTTGTGTCTGTCTCATCAGTCTCTTGTTCATAGAACAGCTTCAAGCATGGGGATCTGTGCATTGACAGTCTATATAAAAAAAAAATGCTTTTGGCAGGATTATAATTTCCTTTGGTTTTTCTCAACCATTACAAAGAGAGTTATATCATACTAATCTGCAAAAGTGTATGTCAATGTAATTTGAACAAATGGGAAAGGCTATATAAGAATAGCATGCAGTACAGAAATAGGGTTTATTATAGTAAATGACTTTATCATTGGGATGCACTTGTATCCATTGATAGGTTTTTTTTTATTTTTTAATGAAAAAATATTTAAGACAATATAATTCAATTGATGATTGTGATAACAGTGAAGAATGAAATGAAGCATTAGAGTTGAAGATGATATAAGAGAAAAATAAGAGGCAATGGCCACATAGGTAATACTAATGTTGGGTAGAGAGATAATGATAATGATAATGATAATGTAGGAAAGGAAAAAAAGAAGCAAGAAATGAGAATATATAAGCTAACTTTTCTATGTTACTAGAGTTTTTTATTTAAATTTACTCTGAATATTCATATGCTAGTGTGACCAATTGATGGTAGAAAGTTGGTCTGAAATGTAGGAAAATTTTGTAGACATTAAACAGAAAGAGTGCTTTTAGAATATAATAATAACATCATGGTTTACTCATAAGACCCCTTAAATGATAGGTATAGATATTGAAGGATGAAATATAAGCCATAATGTCTTTAGTATACATGAATTCAAAGACTGCTACCAAAGTGTTAAAACTACACATATCCCTCAAAGTTAATAAGTTTTGCATTCACCTATTTAAATTTAAGTTTAGTGTAATTATTCTTCCACAACATAAAACATCATTAGCTATCCATAAATTAACCAAACTCTAATTTACATTAATATCTTTCAATATTTACATATTAAATATTATAATATCTAAGTGATCTATTAATTTTATTTGATCTAAATTATTGGTTAAAATACTTAAACTAAGGTTCATAATAATATACCCATTAGAGTCAATATTAGTTTTATCTATTTTCGATTTTGGTCTAATTAGTGTGTTACAAACTCTCCAACATAGGTGTTTGATGTTTAGTCTGATCAAACTCTAGTATGATATATGTGGGACATAATATAGTATAGTGATAGTTCCACGCCATAATAAGTTATTAGGGCTTTATCCATATATAATCTTTTCCTATTCAAACCCCTCAATTTTGGTACCAAATGTCACTACTTGTGGGATAATTAGTTATCAATTTTGTTGAACCCAAATAACTAATCAAAATGTTTAAACTAAAGTTGATAATAATACACTTATCAGATTTTTATAAATGAATATTAATCTTACTTACTTTCAATATAAGATTAATTTGAGTATTACATTAAAATATTTTAAAATTTATATATTTATTTTAATGATTTAACTCAAACAAACTAATAAGGGGAATTTAACCATATTTATTTTAAAATAGGGGTTTTCTATATGAATATTAACACAATGAGGGAAATTTAATACATATAAGAATATATATATATATATATATATATATATATATATATATATATATATA